CCGGTATCTCGAAGATTCCGTAGAGACAGCTGATAGGCTCAGTATCATTCATCCTCTCGGCACGGATACACTGACCTTAAGATTAAGACATCGTTGGGATGCTATTCAGTACGGAAATAACAAAACCACAAGTGATTCTGTCATTCCCGTATCCAGCGGGGATACGTGGAAGCAAGCATCCTATAACCGGTTTGCTCAAGCCAATGCACTCGCCAAAAACAGCATGCACAGTGGTTCAGGCAACTCGCCCAGGTGTATATTAGTATGACATCGAAACCAATCGTTCTAATGGAAGAGCCTATGAGAGCCAACGCCAAAAACAGCACGTCTAATTTGATCAAATTTCAAGGTTTTTCTCACTGTGGCTACCGTGGCGTGGTGCATAAGAAGTTCTTGCCACATGATCGTATGGTCAATGAAGAGTATTATCCTGAAGAGTATCATCTCAAATCAGTCTCCACCCAGGGAACCTTTGATGGAGATGTTTCATCTCCGAAAAAAATTGGCCTGAGAAACTCCATAGTTTGTTGTCCGGTTTCATTCTCGAAACTGAGAAAAAACGTTATGGCAAAAAATCAGCTGGAATGCAGCAACGTCTATCCTGCTTGAGTCGCCAGAGGATGGTATATGTTAGATGTGTATGATACGAGTGTCATTATCGAATGAAATGGTTTTAAAAATTTTCAAATCTAACCTGAGTTTCAAATTAATTTATTTCGAAATGCAATCGTCATAGTATAGAACGAGGTGAATTCTGGATTTATATTCTGCTACGGTTTTAAATGTGCTAATGTGAAAGTAGTAGGTCAAGTGGAATATTTTTTCGTGGAATGAATTCCATTATCACTCAATTTGCGTGACCTCTCGACTATGGATGATCTCAACTGAGAAATAGGTATTTCGGATCATGTTCATACAAAGGACAAAACAAAACAAAATTGAGCGACAATTATTGTAGAAGCGTTTCAACTGAAAATAGTCCAAATGAAAATTAGCCAATTAGAACATTCACTGAACGAATAAATCTCCAATTTGCGATTTTTATTCGAATGAATGATTGCAAATAGTGATTTTCAGATAGTTTCACTCACTTAATTACAGTTAATAATGTTAATGATAATTAGTTGTTGAAATATTAAATTAATTTTTGATTGGTATGATTTCTGTAAAACGAAATAATTGAGAACAATAACAACAATAACAATGCAATTGTTGCATTTCAACCCAGTTGGCCGGCACAGAATTGATCCAATGGCAACGAGGGGATTGAAAAGTTTGTCAGTTGCCAGGAGCTATACCTATAGATTAGAATAATTGACACAAAAAAAACTTCTGCCACTGCCATCTGTTTTGTTAATAAGTGAGCCTGATTGTCACAACAATCACCAATTCACTCAACTGATTGATTCAGCCGTTATTTGATGGAGATCCATAATAGTTTCAAAAATTACACCTCACGATTTGATCTCCACAAACTTTATTTGGAAAATATATCACAATATATTTCGCTAGTGATTTGAATCACTTGACAAAACTACTGTGCTAACAAAACATGTTGTGATATATTTTTCAAATAAAGTTTGTGGAGATCAAATCGTAAGGTGTAGTTTTTGAAATCACTCAATTAGAGTGGAGCTCGAATTTTTTCATGGTTTCATGTATTTGTTTTATTGTAACCATCGAGTATTTTATGGTAATTTCAATTTCTGCTATGCTTGTTATTTTTCAGCTAATCTTTTAAATTTTTCACAGATTCTTTCAGTGAATTCAAATCCATTTATATCATATCAGACAATGGAAATCCGAACTGATGAAATGCACCACGACACATTGTCAACCACCTTCAGACAACCACCTTCTATATTTCTTACCTCAATATGCAACACGCAGATATTTTTTCGACGAAAAGTAACCATTTATACTTATTGCGCAATGCGCATGTGAATTATTTTTCGAAAATGACAGTTTTGGAAAGTGGTGGTAGAGATAGAAATTCAAACAGATAATTGCATGCGCATAATATTTGTCCAAATTAAGTGACGTCAGATGACTCTAAGTCGGTGACGTCAGCATGTTACCTAACATGTATGCAATTTCAAATACGTTCAAACTTGAAGGATATTCGAAATTTGAAGTGGTTATGCGGCACAAACATTTCCATGGGATGAATTTTTCCTTTGTTAAGCGAAAGTGGTTTTAGAAGGTGAGGAAGATATAGACAAAGTGGCGATGGAGACATCTGATACTTCCAATGACAGATCAGATGAAACTACTCAGATTGAAGAACATATGTATGTTCCATTCCTCAGTATTATGGAACATAATGCCTCTGTCCAAATCGGTGATGAAACAGAAAACATATCTAGGAGCGCAGACGATTCTAACATCCGAACCAAATCAGATGTAAGACCAGCGGAAAGTGATTTCTCAAGTGCTTTTGCATTGTCTCGTTCACCGCTTGATATATCCGTCCACAGACCAATATTTGATAAAGAGCTTAGTATTCCAACTGTTTCATCGTCCGATGGGAATAAGGAAGATAATGAAATCAGCGAATCTCAAAGAGATAATGACCTTCTTGACTTCCCCCAATATACCTATAATCCTCTGATAGCGATATTCAAAGAAGCTATAGGGCATTCTCTCGGGAATTTGTAAAACATATCAAACGTATTTGTTCGAGATGTTAACAGTGTTTGTCTTCACAATCATTTCGAGTGTTATGCAACACCCCGCTTTATCCTATTTCTGCACTCAGCAACTGTTGAATTTAGATAGTATTGTGTCAACACTGTGAGGTTAGTTTTTGATTTATGTGTCGTAGTACTTACCTAAGTGAACAGAATCAAATAAAAGGATTTTATTGTTTGGTCAAGTTGAATAATATTTTATTTCATTAGGAAAAACGTTGTACTAGAAATTTTGTGGGGAAATATCCTAGAAAAGATAGTGATACTCAATGACACAGATAGGTTTGTTGTAACAGGTTCAAGAAATTAGTGGCATCCCGATAAATTATCGATCCACATTACTATTGCAATAATTCTATTGAATCATCTTTTTGCCGATCATTCAGAACAATTATTTCAGTAATAATGGAAAACACGAAAGGTGGTAGTCCTCTACTACTAACAGGTATCTGTTGCCATCATCAGTCCGAAACAAAAGTTCAAATATGTTGAGTCTCTTTGACTCTCTTGGAAAAAAGCACATATTCACACCATTACTCCTCTCTGCCTGTCTACCAACGAATTGTGATCTATGATATCTATCATCTGGACTCTCACATATGAGATCCAGTTCCGTATCACTCAGAGGTCCTTTTCGTTGTTTTGGATTTTCAACTCTTTATCTGCCACTCATAGATCTGATCTTTTCGCACCTTATTAGTGGTACTCATTAGTTCATTGTAGTGTAGTGCAGTATGGTATTGTATTTTTACCAGGTTCAAGCCAGAAATTTCATGAACAACCGAAGAGCTCTATGATTAGTTCTCACACTGATAGGATAGTAACAAAATAAATTGTTTTGGATCTGCCCAAGGATTTGCGCACTAGTATTACATGATATTCTGTGAAATTTTTCATGAGATTCCATTATGAAATCCATCGAAGTCAAGGATGAAGTTTGCTCTCGTGGATGCGTTATAATTGACGCTGTTTTCAGTCTCTTTTTCAGTCCAACTAATTATGTTATTATAATACACAAATACTCAGAAACTCGTACTTATCTTTTCTAGTTCTCATTTTATTATCCGAAATGGCCAAGAAAGTTTATCTGCTTCGTAAGTGTTGAACACTTTGGTTTCACCCCAAGCTATAGAACTCAAAATCACTTAGATCCAGTTGTTCCTTCTCAATATTCACAAAGCGGATCGAGCATTGCAGCCCTAACTGGTATCAATAATTCTCAGCCACAAATACTTCTTTTCTCCTTGGTTTCATGGTTTGACTCCACATGAGAATCTTGTTAGTTTCAGTAACGGATAACTTTCTTTTATGTGAGTCCATTCAATCTCCTTTCATATCACTTACTTTTGGCTGGTCAAATTCAGACAAAACCCAGCTGGTTTTTCTCTCTGTATTACAGCGTCTTGATCCAGGAATTTTACGTTTGATGAATGTATTTTCTGTAGACTGTGATATCTTAGTAATTTCCGAGAATCCATCTACAGATGCTTTGGTTTCCCGAAACAGTTCAAACAAAATCTCTGTCATCTTGTTCATATATTGATGCCAAAAGGTCGATTTCTAATTATAATTGCCAGCATCATTGCCATACTTGAGGGCTTTTATACTTCCTGGTTTTGTAAAAAAAACTCATCAATACAGTTAATTGTATGATTTTCACTATGAAAGATTTTACAGAAACCACGACACCTGTTTCCCTATACAAAAGCTTCCTCAAGGGTTAATAATAAATTACTTTCGAATCATAACTATTTTCCTGGTTTTATGTCTAGTGCTTTATCGAGTTCTAGAACTCATATAAAAGTTAATTCTTCGTATTGACCAATGGTTGCATCAAATTGTTGATCATGATGTCTGTTTATCAAAAGAGGCAGGTTTTCAAGTCTTACTATACATTTGTCTTGTCTGTTTTCGGCCAGTGATACTGTTTCAATTGACACAGAACGTGGTTAGTTTGACTGGTGATTTGAATGTGTTCGTAATTGCTTTGTTGCTGATTTTGCTGAAAAAATCATTCAGCTGCTTTTCTGAATGTTGAATCATTCTGAATTTTTGTACTGCTCTTCTTCTATTATTTCTTCTTGTTCTTTTAGTTTTCTCCATCTACATTTTTCCCATGTTCTCGATTGTTCAATTAATTTCTTCTGTTTGAAAATTGATGATTCTTCACAAACTCTAACAATATTTTTCTGTTGTCGATCCTGATATTCAAACCACAACGAGATTTAAAGAAGTATTCATTCACCGCACTATTTATTATCCGTCATGATGTTTTCATATCTAATCTTTTTTAAACTTGATAACACTGAAACGTGCTCTTGAAATTTCATTTATTAATGATTGCTGATCATTATCGAAGTGAACCTTGAATTGAATATGGGTTCACTGAAGAATTTGGCAGATGTTTCTAAAGAGGAACAATCAAAGTTCTTTAAATCCTTCGACCATGTTCTGACTGATATGGATGGTGAGTAGATAGTTTTCATTGATAATATTCTTATTGCTGATCTTCAATTCTGTATTATCTCATTTGAAATGAGTGAAATGTAGAAACTTTGATGTGTGAGTTTGTTGTAACAAAATTTCACTTTTTCAAGAATATCAAAATAATTTTGACTTACTAATGAACTGAAATTCTACAGATTCTAACAGATTTAAAGACAGATAATGAATAGGTGAATGGAGTGCATTCCTTGATGTACATAGATTTCAAACTATCATCTGTTGAACGTCTATCCAAAGTCTTCCGAAAACACTGCAGCCCTGTAATCGTTCTGCGCTGATCCCCTTCATGTGAAAGCAATTTTTCAGTTGTCTTGTCGAACGCATACCCGTGTATTTCCGGGTATGCTTTTTTTTAATGCAAAACACAAGCACTACAGGCATATCTTCAAGGTGCCTGTGCGAAAATAGCAATTCATGTTGGATTTGAATCCCGGGATTGGAAAAAAGTGCTCAGGACGTTGAATCCACATAAACGATGTTCTCCAAATGAAAGAGTTCTTATCCAGTGAAGTTCGAGGTACACTGAGTTGAATCTCAATACGATGAGCAGCCACAGTTCGTCACGTATTTGTGATATTTACCGTTCTTGGTGGAATGAAATGTGCCAAATCACCTGAACACCTCCTGTGATAGTATCTATGAAAGAGAGACAAATCTCCTACCTTTCCTCGATGTTCCAGAAAATCAAGGTTGCAAGTGATGTTCGTGTCTCCAACTAGAAGGATGGCTCTCTTCTGGATGGAATCCAGCATCTTCAGGGTATGCTTAGAGGTGGAGCTTCATACACGAGAACAATACTTCAAAGTAGGTTTGATCTGAGCTTTATAAACCATCAAAAGTTGTTGGGATGTGTACAGTTTTCTGGTTCGGACCAGTGTTTCAAGTTCTCAAGAAGCAGCCTTTGCAATATCAGTCACACGATTGTACCAAGACATATTGGTGTCCATTTCATCCTCAACAAACTTATCGAAGCAGAATGCGGAATTGTTTGTCCTGACATTATTATAGCCGGTTCGGAGACATTTATCTTTTTGGAAAAAACCGATGCCTAGGTTTTCGTGACATTGAATTGAACCTGGTTACTTTCAAGCAATATTCTGCTGCTGGTGAAGATGTGCTGTCATCAGCAAAGCAATATATTGGATTCTTGATTTCCTCCAGTGAGACGTTGATATACAATAAAAAGAGGGTTGGAGACAACATGGATTCCTGAGGAACACCAGCGTTGATGATAAAAGTATTCGAGAGATATACATTGACGTCCACTTGCAGGAAACGTTCATTCAGGAACCTAAAGTGCCAAGGCATCAAAGTTTCGCCAACGAACCCTCTTGCCATTCACGGTCAATTGCCTCAGAAATATCAAGCGCAACAGCTGTTGATTCTCCATGTGCCTCGATTGAGCTATTCCAAATATGGGTGACATAAGATAGAAGATCGCTTGTTGATCTTTGTTTCCGAAAAAATTTTGATGATCGCTCAAGATGTTAAAGTAATTCAAATATTCAAGGATATGGTGATACGGCTATCTCTATGATTTTTTGTATAACTGATTGTTAAGCGACTGGTCTATAGTTATTTGGAAGATTTTTCTTCCTCTTTTTGGGAAGAGGCTGCACGCGAGCAATCTTGCAACGAAAAGGAAAAATGCCTTCTTTCTAACACAGGTTAAAAAGTCTGCAAAATACTTGTGCGAGTTCATTGGTGCACTTTCTGAGTACTGTGTCAGGCACTTCATCAGACCCAGCTGTGTTTTCTATGGCTGTTGTTGCAATTGAACTATCCACTTGTGTTAGTGGTGAAATTATGATCAAAATCTGTAGCAGAAGGATCTGGACCTGTTGGGATTGGAAAGCTTTTTCAGTACTCTCTACGTTTCTTATAGACCCATCCATCTATTTCATTTTGTACCAAAAATGTTGCGCTACCCTCACACTCCATAGATTTTTCAGGATGATGATCCGTATCTGGTACTCAGTTTTCTGTTACCTGCGATGCCTCAGTACCCCGGCACCCAGTATATAGTTAATCTATTCGCTATTCGCCATTTCCATCAGTTCTTCACGGTACTTCCAGATTAGTATTGATGGGGTTCGACAGTGATCCAAGTGCAGACTAGCTGTCTGTGAAAATATTGATCCGCCAATTTCGTTGATGCCTCAAATTAATTATCATTACTTGCGCATTGGTACATTGCATACACTTCAGCTTTGAAGACTGATGTGTACTGATCGAGTGAGTAACTAAAATGAAGGTTTCTCCCAGCACAGAATATTCTAGATCCCGTTCCATGTTCGGTTCTTGTATCATTGTTTATCAAGTGTTTCTGCCGACCATGGTCTAAGGATAATTATATTTATTATTTCAAGGCTTTGACCGCGTTTGTGGCACATTGTCCAAGAATATGTTTGGTTTCGTTCCTCCACATATTCCAAATTCAGTTTTACCCAACTACATGTAACTCTGAGTGTCCTATTTGAATTTGCTTCCCCATTATTACTAGATGTGGAAAAGGAAGATTTGAAATTGTCTCAAATATAGGTGACTGACTTTCATTTCTCCCATCAATTTCAAAGATGCGATTCTTTGCATTCTGCTTCGTTTGTAAAAAACGGATTGTTTCATCTTTGGCAATCAGACTATATACACGAATGGGTTTGAACACCATGGGGTAGAGCCAATACATTATGTCTGGTTCAAACCCCCACGTGTTTCCGTAGGGTCATCTGGTCAGCATCAATGCTACCTTCTCCTTCCCCTCAACTCTTTGAGGACGTTGCTTCCAGATCAACCCAGCAATCTAGTATCTGAAGAGGAAAGGAATCTACGATTTTAAAACCAATCAGAAGTTCAATCGCAATGATTCAGAAAGAAGATTGCTATTCTGCATTATTATTTACCATAAGTGGAGTTTGGTTCAATGTTAGAGAGTGTCCGACCATCCACTGCAATCTCCATTTGTAAGTGAAGTTTGGATTCAATCTCTCCAAAAAAGCCAAATAGTTCATTTGATAAATTATATTCCAACCCAGAGAATTGGACTTTATCAAACACTGAGAACCTGTTTTGGTTACTTGATCTCTCAAACTGAAACGGCACGTCGAGTTCATGACAGTTTAGGTCTCTTCTTGTTTCAGGAAATAGTGATCTGTGAGTTGTCCTGTTGAACAACGTAGGTGTCATAAACTATATATAGTAAATGTTTACAAATTTGAAAGAGAATGTTAAAAAATCTATTGAGAAATTTCAACCTAGGGCGTGAATACCAAAATTGCCTACCACAAACAATTGGTATCAAAACTTTTGTTCACATCATGTTTCATGGATTGATTCGAAGGAATATTTCAGCAATTGTTCCTTTGATATTTGAAAATTGGTTGAATGGTCGAATATCCAAAAATGTTCTTTTGGGTTTTATAATGCGACAGTAGATTCATGGTAGAAAATAAACACTAGAATGCTGTGAAAAATTCAGTTCCATATTCAGAAATCGATGTTGACAGTGGTCCGAAATATAATCCTTATAATATTCCAGAATTGTAAAGAATATGTCAAGCAGAAACATAACTTGGATTCGAAAAATCCGGCGCTTTTTAGATATGTTTAGACCTGCTTCATTGTTGGAATCTACTTTTACTCTTTATTGGATCTGAATTTTGAACTCAAGCGGCCTCTTATTTCATAGTTCAGTGAATGCCATTAGGAGTGGCTTCCTGATATGAAGTATAAATGTGTTTCATGTTTGAATAAACTATGAATTTAAAATACAAAAATACCAAGATGGGATAATTGAAGGAATCAGTAGCGATAAGTTATGATTACGAAAATCAAAATTATAGGAACACTAATTTGTATAGCACATATGTTGTCACATTGTGAATGGTCATTGCAGAATCTGCCAGTTCCATTCTGAATCAGCCAAAAACGACAGAATTCAGGTGGGAATAAGAAGCAAATGATTCTAGAAACACTGCTAGCATCAAATATCAGCTATGAAAAACCAAAGGATCCGAATGGCCTACTACATGATAGCACCATTAAATTTCAAACCAATGTCATTTTTTGTTGAAGGAATTAGAATTTGTTATTGATCTTTTCAGGTGTTTTCATTTTAGTTATTTCGTCAAGCTGACATAAGAAACGCAACCTATATAAACCTTTGATCAAGCGGAAAAATGGGTCATTGTAGATGAGTCCGAAGAAGAGGACCCATCTGCAACTTGCAAGCGTTTATTATGGCTCACACCCACTCAAACTCGTTCAAATAAGTCCAGTTTTCCGACGGAACCGATCAACTTATCTGATGAGTGATTTTTCAAGTCAAATGGCAAGAATGGAATTCTGTCAAACTCTGGAAACCTGATTCGGTTCTCTACGGGACAGATACAGAGAATGGAATGTTGCTGCCAAACAAAGGCAGGTCAAGGCTCTTCGTATGAGCGTTCAGTCGACAGCGACTTGTAATTAGGACTGCTAGACAACGTAGGTGTTTCTGCTGTAACCGAACGAATCAGATATCCATAGTTTGTTTGGGGAGGCCTAAAACGATACTAGTGACAGTTTTTGGTCCAATAAAATCACTTACAGTTCCCTTCCTTGCAAGGAAGTCAGCAGGCTTATTATTATCCAGGCCAGTGGGACCAGGAATTCAAAAAAAGCATTGAATCTCAAAAATATTTTTATGGATTCCTGTGTGACGATAGTTTCTGTCATTCTCTACACTAACAAATCCAATGCGCATATTTCCGTATAAGGTATCATCTGCTCTTTTTTCACCAACTATTACCGTGAAATCAAGAGTAGGCAAAGATGAGTAGAAACGCAAAAGTTTCCTTTTTGTGTTTTATAATTTCACTACATTTTTCAATTCAGTCAGTTCTATATTACTGATTGTGTTAGGTTAGGAATCACACGATAAAAGGTAAGACCTCGTTAGTCCCTAGCTCGCACAAGTTTCTCAACTTCTGAGAATTGTCGTTTTATTCAGATTTTTTAAACAGATTGTATTATTTCAGGAGTTATATGGCAGGTATACAATGAAATACCAGGTTCCAAAGAATGTATAGACTCTCTCAAAGGACGTGGGAAACGAGTACGGTACGTCACGAATAATCCCCTCGTCAGTGGCATAGAAATATGGAAAAAATTAGTGCGAGCAGGTTTCAATGCCGAAATTGAAGATGTGGCCAGTCCAGTAGGTTCAGTGATATCTTACCTTGAAGACATAAAATTCAAAAAGAAACTTTTTGTTATCGGAACGAACAGTCTGAAGGAAGAGCTTAGAAAGGCAAACTTTGAAGTTGCCCCAGAACCAGTGAGTGAAAAATATCAAATGATTTATTTTTCAAAATTTGAATTTCAATATTCAATTTTGATTTTTGTAAATGAGTCGAACAAGTAACGGAGTTGATGGTAGTTTTATATCACACAATATAAATGCTGGTATAAATGATAATGATCAGGAAGAGAAGTTCTTATTCCAAATAGAATGAAAATTTTCGATAATATGATACAATAATTAAACGTTTGTAATCCAGTAATTCAATTTTATTGGAGGACCGAATTTCACGTGAGTACGAAACGTCGATACTGAAGATTTTATAAATAACAGTATATTTTTCAATGACGGCTCCATTGAGAATTTCTCTTTAACATCAATTTCTTTTCCAATTGAGACAAAAAGAATTCAGAAAAATGATAGTCACGTTATCAGCATTATCTATCAAATTGATGGTTTTAACAAAATACATAACCAGGAATATCTTCCAATCATAAGTAACATTTTTACTGTATGAAATGTTTTCGATTTTTTTTCATTCTTTTTCTGAAATGCACCATCAATAAGTCTGAACGTAATCTGTATGAAACTGTCAGAACTTGTTTTTGTTTTTAAAGTACCGCCATTTTAAACGTCAGTTCTTTTACAAGGTTCAACCTTGTTTAGACTCGAAACCCAAACAAGGTCAATCCATATTTTTGAATAAATACTGTCTGGAATTCATAAACATAAGTATCAAGGGATTATTAGTGAAAAAAAAATCTGCCAGCTGTCAAGAACAGAGGACAGTTGCCGTCCTCTTTTACAAGTTACAAAGTGGGATCTCATTAATTCTCAGATACTACAATTTAGAATTCGAAGGAGGGCGGTCAGCTGGATGACGAAGAAACAGATTTCAACAGATTGAATTTTTGAAGATCCGCTCAGTTCCGTGTTAAGCTTCGTATTCAAACGGTCGAAGTTTCCTACCCTCGGTGAAATCTAATGCATCCCGATTAGCATTAGCATTAACATGCTATTTGTTTGAAGGTGATTGACAATGTTTCGTGATGAATTTCACTAGTTCGGACTTCCATTGTAACTTCTATTGTAACAATCGAAACGTCGTGAACTAACGTGACTTGGAATCTCTACACTTTTTTATTATTTTCTTTTTTCATTCCTTCAATTTTAATTTATTCAATTATTATATTTTTACTTGTAGGTTATTTCACTATCATTTCATTTCAGGTTTATTGTTGCTATTGTTATTTTCAGCTATCTTTTTTTAATTATTCTTTTTTACTTGTTTCAGGGATTTCAAATCATTTTATATAGTAGACAATGGAAGTCCGAACTAGTGAAATTCATTAAAATGCTGCTTCATTCTAGTCCTTCTATATTACAGTTTATAGAACACATTTTCAACAACTGTATCGATTTTAGTTCAAACGGAAGCAATCTCACGTTCACCCTCTATGTAAAGTCAACGATCCCCAGAATTTCAGTGACCTCTGCCCTATAAGCATTTTATGTGCCATATCTAAAATTCTAGAAAAAATCCTCGACGAACAAATCCGTGAATTTCTGGAGGAAAATAAAATATTACCATCGTCCCAATCAGGTTTTAGACCAGGCCATAGTTGCACGACTGCGCTTTTAAAAGTCGTAGATGATATTCACAAATCAATCGACAGCAATAAACTTTCTGTTTCTGTATTAATAGACTTTTCCAAAGCTTTCGATAAAATATGCCATCAGCTTTTATTGCCTTATTAAAATATCTTGGATTTGCAAACTCTTCTGCCAGTCTAATTGATAACTATTTGAACAGTCGAACCCAATGTATTATTCTGGATAATCAGCCTTCAGATTATCTTGGAGTTTTTGCAGGTGTCCCTCAAGGGTCTATCCTTGGCCCTGCATTATTCGTGATATATACGTCACAATTTTCCAGATGTCTAAAGTATACTGAAATTCACAGTTACGCAGATGACACTCAAATCCATATGCAATTTCCTGAAAGTTCACTGGCAATAGCTTGCCAACAAATCAACCAAGATCTGAATTCTGTATTGACCACCTTTAAAAAATACTGTCTAACAATCAATCCTTCTAAAACTGTTACCATGCTATTCGGGAGGACAGCAATGAGAAAATGATGTCAAAATCAAGTTTCGATTCTTCTTGATAATGTAAATCTTAGTTTGTCTGAGCGCACTAAAAATCTTGGTCTCACAATAGATCAGTCTCTCAGATTTTCACCTCATGTTTCACTAATCCTGAAGAGGGGATATTGCAGCTTGAAAACTATATATTCGAATAGGGAGATTCTCAATAGACAGTCCAAGAAATTGCTATGTGATGCCTTGGTACTATCTCACGCAAACTACGCGGATACTGTATATGGCCCAAGTTTGTTACAGTCTGACAAAGGACGACTACAAACTTTGCAGAATTCTTGTTTAAGACTTATCACTGGAACAAAAAGGCGACAACTTATTTCTCATCATTTGAGTAGTCTAAGATGGCTGAATATGGAGGCCCGAAGGATATTCCACTCTTGCATTTCAATTCTTGATATAATCTCTACGAAAGTACCGAGTTATCTTTATGAAAAGATCAGCTTCCGCACCGACGTTCATCACCTGAACTTGAGATTCAAACATCATCTAGCCACTCCATCCTATAAAACTTCATTATTTCGATGCACCTTTTCATATAATATATCTCGGATGTATAATCGACTCCCTGACTTATTGAAGTCACTGTCGCTTGCAAAATTCAGAAAAAAGCTGAAAGATGATTTACTTTTAAATGAATTTCTTCTACCAAATTTATTGTCAAGCTGTAAATAATGATCCACTTATATATGTGTGTATATGAATGCCTACGTGTATATACAAGCAAATATATGTTTCTAGGTAAATGATTAGCCAACATTTTTCTGTTTCTTCACTAGTTTTCATTATCGTTTTGTAGGCGAATTATCAGTTTACATTTTTCTATTTTTTTTATTGTTTTTTCATTGTCGTTCATTGAACGAAATAAGGATAGGTGATAGCATAAGTGATTAATGATTAGAATTTATTTGTAATTATTGTTATGAAGACGGTTGAATGGAAGAGCAAATTCTGATTGCGTTACTCAAATGACAAAATCAGAACCTGAATTCTGCCTTTTGACAAAAATGTAGGATATCATTTAAGAACTGCCTGTTTTTTTATATCTACTATATGTTGTACTGCATTTTGTCAATAAAAGCAATTATTATTATTATTATTAAATACCACTAATACCATATCATATCAGAGAAGTAGCTTTTAGAAAGTTCAACATTCTGAGATGCATGATAAATTTTCAAATAAAGATATATGAAATATTCTACAGTGTTTGCCGCTAAAAAATTTGATGAAATTTAATATTTCGGATCAAGTTATGAAATGGTTTGTTGATTTTTAAATAATACCGACACAAAAATATTTTTGACCAATAGGTGAGTTATGATCCACCACTTATTTCTATCCCTATTTCTAGCCATCTGAAACAGAATCGCTTCATACTCTTATTGAAAATATTGGAGACGATGAAGACATAGGTGCAGTCATCTTTTCATGGGATTTGAACATGACCTACCTCAAATTGCAGAAAGCCCTAACTTATTTGAAGAGGAAAGAATGCCTCTTCATAGTTACACTTCCTGATAAAAAACTTGAAATAGGATCCAGAGGACCATTGATTGGTAATGTATCTGTGATTCATTTTCATTTTTCCACATGAATGATAATATTCTAATTATTATATTTCAATGAATGACTGAGGAAAAGCCACAAAGCCGTTTATTTACTTAAAAAAAATATGATAGTTATCATATAAATTGATGAATGTATGAGATCATCATGAGAAATGAGAAATAAAACTTTCTATGTTTTTATACCAGTTGTATTTGTAACTAACATCACACATAATCATAATGAATTTGAGTTCAATGTATCTAGAAAACCGAGCTACACAGACATTACAATCCCGAGTGATTTTTTTATTCCGATACTCATAAATTAGCAACCTACATTTCAATGTTACACAGCATTCTCGTTACCTTTGTCTCCTAATAATCTTAATAGGGAAACTGAAATAATTATATAGATTGGAAAATAATGGTTTTAACGCAGACACAATCCAGAAGTTAGTTAAAAAACAAATTTACATACAGATTCCAGGAATTTTTAATTATGGAAACATATAAAAAAGTAACACAAATTGTGAAACAACAAAAAATAATTGGCGCTCCGGGGTGACTCGATTGATTTCAGTGGCGCATTTGCTTTTTCAGCTACAGGAAAACTCGGAAAAACCTGCAGCACCACAGCATTTGAAGATCTTGATCTTTCAATGTCCTCTCTTCCATAAAATAAAATGTAGGGTGTTTCCAAAGGCTCCAATAGATTCAAGATATTGTCAGAATATTTAGTGAATATTACTGGAGTTTTTTCCCCAACACCAAATCGTTATTTTTAACACCTCGACACGTGTTTCGATCACCAACATCTTTCTCTTTGAGGATGAACACCATCATCTTCCTCTTTGAAGATGATCACTTGGTGATCGAAACACGTGTCGAGGTGTTAAAAATAACGATTTGGTGTTGGAAAAAAACTCCACTAATATTCATTACTATACCAAAGGTTCCAAACAGTGCATCATAAGAATATTTAGTGACACGACTATCGTCAAACTCAAGCTAGTCCATTTCGTCTTTGACCAATGCGTAATAATGACCAGACAACGCCAGAACCACATTAAACAATGACTGCATGAAGATTATAATAGTGGTCTGCTAGATTGAAGTGTTCGTCTATTTCGAACCTTCGTGATAGTTTGGTGCTTCCGTCAGAGGTTGAGTCATGTTTGAAGATCATCAGTATTATTATTAGATTGACTGGTGCCTCAGCTATAATTGTTGTCTTATAATAGTCAGTTGGTTTGGTTGGTTTGGTTTGATCATCATCCGTTGAAAGTTCCATTTACACGGACTGGTTATAGGTTATATTAGGAAATGCTAGTTGAAGTTCCGGAATATCACATGCGTTTTTGCTACCTCTTGAACATTTACTAGAAAGTGAACAATTTAGGATTTTCCCAGCAAAAGATCTACAAACACAAGACAACACAGTCTGTGCACAATCATTAATTCCGGAGCGGTCAGGAATATTGATTCTGCTATTTTCCTGCAGAGTATTCAACAAGACCCCCAGGAATTCGGAACAATCTTCTTGTTGTCCTAATGAGTATCTAGTGGACTTCAAAAACTCTAGGAAATCGGTTGGTGGAGAAGATGATACATTCTTACGAAACTGCGAGTACATGAATTTGGTGAATAAGTAGGAAACATTCTCGTTCTTGTTCATCGTTAAAACCATGTTCTTGAAATTCTTCGTCATGAACAACACTTGTGAAATACTATTTATGTAGGAAGTGTTTCCTAAATTATCTAATCCAATTTTCTTCATAGGATTGATATACCCCCAGATGAAAAATCAGAAATCAAGATATATTTCGGTGAGAGAAAACAGTAAATTGCGGGATTATTCAGAAAAAACAATGTGGAAGTAGCATTCAGGTCACATGCCAGCTTATTCAATTTCCTTTTCAATACCAAAGATACAGTGAACAAGATGGAGAAATCTTGAGTTTATAAGCTTTAGTGTCCGTAGTGTAATAGTATTTGTGTGGGACGATGTGGCCGAAATGTTCTCTATTGTAGCTGGACTGCTTATTCTTCAATCAAATTTGTACAGCATGCTTGTTCTTCTTCCTATGTCTCATTTTCTCCACCCAGCAAAATCTGTGTATCTGGTTATATAGGATTAGATTCACTATTTTGTTTGCTGGCTACAATACAAGCTCATTCAAGTAGCCGTAACTTTCATTAGTTCTCCTAGGATTATAATATAATCTCTATATTTTATGTATCTAAATGTATACTTTTTCTTCTGTCATAGACGAAAATGTATCTGTATAGAATTAATTCAGTGACTCACTCACTATAAAATTCAACGAAAAAATTTATATTCAAAACTATTAATTTCATTTAGAAATATGTCATCACCTTCCTGAATATAAAAAGAAAAATGAGATCTCAACTCTCGAAGTGATTCACTACGTAAAACAAAATCAAGGCAATTGCAAACTTTTTTCATAATGCGTGACGCATCAATTTGTAAGGCCACTTGAATTCATTTCCTCGCGCGATAGTCATACATTCTAAGATATTATTTTAGAATATATGATGTGAAGGACAAATATTAGGTATATGAAATGCGTAAGGTAACTGACGTATTTTCCACAGATATATTTCAACAAATTCATATCAAATATTGAAATATACACATGAACATTGTATGAAAATTCCTTAGTTTTTGAGTTGATAGCGTTCGGATAGACAGACACGTCTGGGGGATTTATAATACTATATTAAAACTAGTAACTCTCCTTATGATTTACTTCAAAGGCTCCTTCGTAGCCATATCGTCACTTATTAGAAAGTAAATGGAATATTTAGGAATGATCAAATTAAGAATTGTTGGCCGTCGACTCAAGATGAGAATCTCTAACATTCATTTTTCAATTTCTGAAAAGACGAACTTTTTACAGCTCTTCAGATTAGAATATTAGAAAAAATAGCGACTGAGTTACTCATAGTGTTTCATTGGTGAGTATCAACAATAGTCACTTTTTACTATCTTTACTGGTAGTAGAATATTTTAAACAATATTTTGCCAATCCAAATCACTAACTTAAAAAAAATGTATATGAACTCTTTCAGATTTCTGTGTTCCTTTTCAAGCCGTTATCATGATTTAACTCGTTTCTATGATTTTTCAATGAATTATGTAGGTATATGTAAAATTGTATTGATAAAATCGATATGGTTGAAATAATAGTTTTTGTTTTCTTTCACTGCAGTGCCAGTGGTGATGGCAAAGTTTATACTCGCGATTTATTGACTGTAAGATGTTTTCCCCAAAACAAGTGAGGTTTTTTGAAGTATACTTTCTAGTTTTCCCACGTTTACCCTTGAGAATATTTACCATTATTCTTGTCACATTCATTGTCTTCATGGAAGGCTCAGAAAAGTTGGTTCCTTTACGAAAATATCTTACAAAAAATATCACTGTTCTGTTTCAGGTACTGGGCCATTCATTGAAATGTTGAAGGATTTCAGTGGAAAAGAACCAGTCATAACCGCAAAACCTTCTAACTATTTTGCTGAGTTCATCAGCAAAAAATATGGTGTAATGAATTCGAAACGAGTGTTATTTATAGGAGATCAGTAAGTATCGAAATGTATGAACTACCTCTCTCTGAGTGGTTTTCCAGCCTATTATTTAGGGCTATAGGGCTGAAATTTTCGTTGGCTGACACATAGATTATTTTTAGTTAACCCTAACCTTCAAAAGATACAGGTACGAATTTCACAGCGTTCGGACTATAAGTTTGTAAGATAAAACATTTTGAGTTAAAACTTTTGTTAGTTTGGAGAATATGGACATAAAAGAATTTCATGAGTCAATAAAGCATTGTTTTTTGGCGAAAACAAAAACTGGTGCAGCCAAGGCAATATTATACGGATTTTGCACCGGGAAAATCACCATTGAAAAGTTGTTTGCTCAGTTGAAAGGACTTTAAATGAGCAACGAGGACGATGCACGCAGTGGCCGCCCCAAAGAGGTTGTTATAGACGAAAACATAAAGAAAGGCCACAAAATAATTTTGGATGAGAGCAAAGTGAAATTGATCAAGATAGCTGAGGCTCTGAAGGTATCAAAGGAATATGCTGGGCATATCCTGCATGAATATTTGGGTATGCGGAAATTCGGTCCATAGTGGGTGCCGCGCGAGCTCACAATCGACCAAAAACAACAACAAACCGATTGTTCTGAGCAAAGTTTGAAGCTGTTTTACGATGAACAACTCGAATGTGTGCGTCGATATGTGACAATGGATGAAACATGGCTGCATAATTCCACACCTGAATCGAAACTATCGTCATCTAAGTGGACTGCACGTGGCGAACCGTCTCGGAAACGAGCAAAAACGTAACACTCCGCTGCCAAAGTTATGGTTTCGATATTTTGGGATGCACCTGGTATAATATTCATCGACTATCTTGAAAAAGAAAAACCATCAATAGCGACTATTACATAGCGTTTGAAGAACGGCATCGCGGATAATGGCTCCATTTTGAGAAAAAGAAAGTGCCGTTTCATCAAAATAATGCACCGTGTCACGAATCAATGGAAACGATGGCAAAATTGCATGAATTGGGCTTCGAATTGCTTCAGCATCCACCGTATCTCCCATAGCTGCCTCTCGGTGACTTATTGCTGTCCTAAAACCTCAAGAAAATGCTCTCTGGAGAAAAATTCAGTGCCGCTAAAGAGATTATCTTCGAAACTGGGTCCTATTTTGAGGCTAAAGAAAAATAGTACTATATAAATGGGATCGAGATACTGTATAACCGCTATGATCGTTGTGTCGCCCTCGAAAGTAACTATATCGAGTAATGAAATCAGATTTCATGAGAAACATTTTTCTGCTATGTTAGCCTACGAACTCTTCAGCTCAACTGACTTTCTGCAGTTTTCTTGCAAGGTGAAGAATTAAACTTTGCCGTACTTATACAATATTGCTTCAATAACATTTTCTCGAAAAAGTAACTGTTGTCCATGTAAGGAATATAGAGTAAATGATTACAAATTGAGAGGATGTACAAGATAATTGATAACTTTCCATGACATCACAAGAGATATTATATAGGAATGGATCCTGAAAAGAGATGCATTATCAGTGAGACGGAATTCATAAAAATCATCATAATTATCATTTCCCTTTTTCTATTTTCGAAGTTATTCATTGAAGTAACATTTCTGAAGTTTATAGGGAAAAATGTAACACAACCTTTTTTAATTTATTGTCATGAAACCAAATAGCTATTTGCCAAGGTCTGGTAGCTGTTGATGCCAAACTGAGCATGTGCCCAGTCAGTGGTTTTGTCTGATTACACACGCTGCAAAAACGTATTTGGCTACATCATATGCCATTTTTGGCCAATAAAATTTGCGAGACAGTCTCCCTATGGTTTTCAAAACCCCCAGGAGTTCAAATGTAGGTGGGATATGGAATTCCTTTATCAGTTTCTCTATGTACTCTTTTGGTATTACCAGCAACAATCCGTTTTCCTCATTTTCCTTTTTCTACTGTGCCATTCTCAGATACCAGCGGTCCTGAATCCCGACTTGGGCAATATAATCTTCGATAGCATCTTCATCAGGAACGGCTCGCGACAAGATGTCAGGTACAATATCGTCCTTACCTTTGCGGTGCACAAAGACGAAGTCATACTGCTGGAGTCTGAGGAGCCATTGTGCGATTCTGCTAATGGGGTCCGTAGTGGAAAACAACCATTTCAAACTGAAATGATCTGTCACCAGCGTAAAATTACTACCTTCCACATAGGGTCTCGGGTTTTCCACCACAAACAGCACAGCGAAATATTCTTTCTCGTTTCCATCGAGGAAACGACTCAGCTAGCAAATTACACTCTCACCACTCTCTTGGACGTGAGTAAGGACGGCCTCCCAAGCCATAATCTCTTGCGACTGTTTCAATGGTGTAGGGTTGGTCACAATCATGGCAACACAAAACTGGGACAGAAATCAAATAGACAAATACGAACTTCTCTAGGTGAAATCCTATAGCGCGATCTATAAGTCGTTTCCAGGTTGCCAGTGCGTTATGGAGACCAAACGGCATCCTCATGAATTGAAAGAGCCCTCTGGTTGGTACTACAAAAGCGGTGAAGATTTCATCTTCCCTTTGAAGATGATCACTTGGCGTTCGAAACACGTGTCAAGGTGTTGAAATGATGTTTTGTGTTTGGGATAAAACTCCAGTAATATTTACACTTTGTTTTATTTAAATTTGAAAATAGGAAGCGCTCAATAAAGAACCCTATACAAGAAAGCTGAAACTGCATTCAGTAGCTTCAGTAAACATAATAAAATAGGCTGATAATTCAAAGACATATTTTGTATCGAAATGAAAAGAAGACGATTATTCTCTATCAGAAAATTGTGTATTTCCTTTGGACGAATCTGTCTGTTATAATATCCTTTATATACATTGTTTACTGTTGAATTGGAATGATGTGTTTGTAGTTATATAGGTGGGAATCTTTTCAAATACTGGAAAAAATAAAATCTTTCAATATATTCTCTTATTGAGTTTGAATTTTTCATTTCAGGATAGACACGGATATGAAATTCGCAAACATAGGAAGTTACCAGAAACTCTTGGTACTTACGGGTTTAACCAAAATAGAACACATTCGTGATTGGCAGTTTCCTGAAAAGTATAAACCAGAATATTATGTTGAAAGCCTCAAAGTTTTGAATGACATTTTGATATCCACATAACGCTGTGCTAAACAGTATCGCTTTATTAGAAGGAAAATAAAATAAATCTATGTTATCGACTATACATATAAATATTATATTTGTGAATCATGAGGCTGTGATGTTTTCCGAAGACTTGGGATAAATGGACAAGTCAGTCGACTTCGATTGGGTTGGCGACCTTTGCGGAAGAAGACATGTTCACGTTATATTATAGTAGCACATTCCAACCACAAGGTTGAGAAAATGAATTAGGATTAAAATTCAAATTCTGAAGGATATATTTTTAGAAGATATTGATTTTCGAAAAAAAAAAGGTTCCGACTTCTCACTTCTCTATACATATAGGAGAAAATGTGAGCAATTTTCAAATAAAGGAAGACAGCAATCGATTTCAAAATAGTCCCTTTACCAAAAATCATGCAAAAAAATAACTTATAGACAATAACTGGGAAAAAGAGGCCCACCCGAATAAGTACTCTCATCCAACGTTCAATCACGAAAAAGAAAAATTACTTTCGAAACAACTACTTGCACATGAGAACTGAATTATTCAAAAACACCTTCTCTTATTCAGTTCATACCACAAACAATCGTTATGGGATTGAATCAAATATTTTCCACAGAATTGCTACACAATATAGTACATGAAAGACGTAGAATTTCACTTACACGAAACACTGCTATCCTTAATGGCGGGCATCGATGTTTTGAAATATTATACTCTTATTGAATCAAATAAGCGAATGAATGTCACTAAGAACAACTGCCGTCCATGACATGAGTATATTCAACTCATTCGTCATAAACAATAGTAATGTTATGTATAATTGAATGTTTGTATAGAATTAGTTGTTCCAAAAGTACTTTTCCTTTTGTGTGATTCAATGTTTATCTGAAAAAAGTTGTTTCAAGAGGACTTTTTCTATCAGTTTTTTGTCTAGAAGTTACTCTTTTGCATGATCTACACATCTTTGTAAACAGTTAATTTCGTAATCAATTGCTCTCTTTTTCTCTTCGGAAGTTTCCCTTTTGTTCATGGAAGTGGAGAAGTGGAAATTCAAAACTTTCTTTTCCAGGATCATTGTATGATGTTGGTCTGAAATCAGCAGAAATCAAGTAATTCTTCATCAATTTGTGACCATGATAACTATTCACTCACAAGAAGAATAAACATCCATCACAAGTTTTATCATTGCCACGCAAAATTTTCTCTTATATAGCTGTTCCTACATTGGTACTCTTACCATCTGACCTGAAAGACCACTGACCATACAAACTAATCGGCTTCGTTAAGAAGCTGGGTTTATTTGGTCAAGTGTGAATAGGTGTGAGCCGCAATAAACCCTTGCGGGTTGCGGTGGAGGGTCGAATAGACTCACTCACTCCATACCCAACCTAACCTACATTCGTGAATCCTCATAACTATCTAATTCGATAAAAAATAGAGAAATTAATCGCACATGATTTCAAAAATGTTTCACAAATTATTTCAGAAATCACATTCTAGCCAAAATGTAGGTATCGTATTCATCAGGCTATTGCCAAATCGAGGATGATATCAACTCTTTCACTGATTTCTGTAAATTTCATGCAAATATGGCGTCATTTACAAAGGAGTAGTATAAATCTACTTAAAAGACTTCATATTATCGCCATTGTAGTGTTTTCTGACCTACCCAACACACGAGCACCAATATCGATCTCTCTTTTGTGGGTCCATGGAAAGGGAGGAATAGATAGAGAGAGTAGTAATTCAAATGCAGAAATATAACGGATGAAACTTACCTACCTGTCATCTGCCCACGATTTATTATTCATTCATGCTACTGATGATTTGAATGGGCCAATAAATGAACCAATTGCATCAATAAATTGGTTAATTCTCATCCTATTTGTCTTTTTGTATTTGAAATTATTTAATTACAAAGCGAAAAATCCTGGAAACAGAGAAATGGGGAAGTGAAGAATTGNTTCCTACAATAAACTAAGAATATCCTGAATATTTTATGAATATTCCTCGGGTTCTATTCCTGGAATATTCTTAATAGAATATACTTTACATATTCTAAGAATATTATAAGATATTCCAAGAATATTCCCAAAGAATATTGTTAAAATATATCAAAGGTTCGCCAGGAGCACTTCCAGGGAATATTCTCCAGAATATATATATATCCATGGCATATTCATAGCATAATACAATATCCCTTAATGTATATTCATGAAAACATTGATCATTTTAATGAATACATTGCATTACGCCCTTTCTTTATCAATCATCAACGTTTTTTTTTTGACATACTCAATATATAAATGCAGTACCAATCCAGTTGGTGTAAACATTTTTGGGAAAATGCCTTCTATCATTGCTGAGTTTCTGAACCTTCCGGAACCAAAGGAATACACAGGTCACTGTTTCAGAAGGTCTTCTGCTTCTTTGCTAGCAGAATCAGGAGCAAATATAACGGATATTAGGAAGCACGGATGATAGAATAAGTCTACAACAGTAGCTGAGGGTTACATCTCGATCAATCTGTTTCTTAAAAAACGGCTATTGCTGAACAGCTAGCTCCAGCGTTACACTATCGTCCTTTTCACTTCAAGAATTAAATGTTAATGCCCATGAAATTGTTCACTCAGATAGTTCAAATATATTACACGGCTCTTCAACATTGCAAGGTATCGATATCAGCAGTTGTTCTTATAGTACTTTTCATATTAATGTTCATAAATAATAATAACAGTGTAATTAATGTATATAATACATTTATAACAGAATTTAATTGTATCTTTATCTGATGTTTATAATAAAACTTCCTTGAAAATTGAATATATACTTTTTGTTCAATACTATTCGGTCCAAAAAAAAACGTGTTAAAAAGTTTTTCAAGACGCTACTTTGTAAATATCATTTGATGACAGTTGTACGAAAAATCTATTTCTCATATACCCCTGAAAGAACTATATTTTCAATATGAATATCTACTTGAGAAACGGGAGAATTACTCCAAGAAGAAAAGAGTTTGAACGTACGCGTATCGTATAGAATCACTTGACTTACAAATTTATTATCCACTCCTCTTCCACGAATGTATTCGATTGCCTGGAGAAATGATCGAAAAAAACGATTGGTGAAACTATGCGTGTTCGAATCTTCGAAGAAAGTGGTTAAAGTTGAAAAAGAAATTCATGAGATCATGTTTATAAATGACAACAGTTATCTTAGATAATTCAGACTTTCATGATCAGTTGACATGTTTACGAATTATTTTATATTGATGTCAATTCATTATTGATTGTATCATTCAACTTCTTGAGAACGAAATGAACATTTCGAAATGGATTATTCATAAATTTTCCGGAGGTTCTTATGATGAACAGAACAGACGTAAAGGATCTTCCCGTCCTAATTTTTGGATGGGACTAAATACCTATCGAGGTCGAAAAAAATTGAGTGAAAAGGCATCGTATTCAGTACTTTCTAGTGAAAAACACGATAGTGTTGCATCATTCAGCAGCAGAAAACAACTACTTTTCTGGCTAAAACGACGAAGGGCGTTGTATTATATCAGATAAGTCTGGTAGGCAGAGTTTTTGTATCACTCAAGCTCATGTGGTGTAATCGGCATATTCCCAACTTGAAATTGAATTGTATACTATATGAGTCGCTTGTTTTAAGTCACTTCAATTGTGACTTTATTGACGATCCATGTTTAACGTGTTCAAAAAACACTTCATTGTGAGATTTTCAGTAAATTTTCAAGTACCTGAGTTTTACCTAGGCATTTTATGTTTTATGTGTACCTGAGTTTGTAATGAATTTGATAAAAATAATAATAATAATATCGTTCATTATACATAAAAAATACATGAAAGGAAGAGAATTAGCCAAAGGCTAACTTCCACCCCTCTCAAAAACTAGGGTGAGAAAATAATTATAAAAATACTTATTTATTATCATAACAATGATAGAGAAGAGAGAAAAAAATAGATTATATAGTTGCGAATAACTCTTAATGTTCTTAACTTTATTTTGGTCAATTTAAAAATTTCATTGCACTACCATACATTGAATTTCAAATTTTTTAAATTAGCACTGAGCAGTAAGCATATGTGTTTTTATTTCTTCCTCAAATTGATGAAAAATATGATTTGAAAGAAATAAAATTTCATTCAGATAAGAAGGGGCTATATAAGAAAAACATCCTTGAAATTTGGAAGAATGGTGCCTAGGTATGTTGAATGAGTTAATTCTCAATTGACCATATGTATGTCAGAATGCCTGCTTGATAAACTATACAAATAACTAGATGTTTTAGTTTGAAGCAACTTGAATAAAACCATTTTTATCAAATATTGGACTCTGTACCTCACATTCAGCTCCTTCATCTTCAACAAAAATGGTGTGAGATGTTCACCATATGGTATAAAGCATACGAATCGCATGCAATCATTTTGTATACGTTGTAACTTCTGTTTGTTATATTACGGCATAAAATTGTAATACACTGTACTTGACAATGCGATATGAAAGTGGGGTAATAAAAAATAAACTGAAAATATCAATGGTCCTGAAATATTTTCCTGCCGTACACCTGAGATTGTTTCTTGACCATGAGTAATCATCCAATTTGACCCTCTGTGATCGGCCTGTGAGATAACTGGTCATCCATTCAAGAGAAATGTCTGAGCTTGTGTATCTGAGCTTGTGTACCAGTTTTCTTGATTTGATAAAATACTCAGTAACAGAAAGTTATTCAATTCTATATGGTCATTCAATAAATTGCCCAAATTCTGTGACTTGTGTATATCTAAACATTCAGAAGATTTAGTTACAAGCGTTCCTCTTCTGAATGTAAGACGTCGTATTCATGACTGAACTCATGTCCTTCTGCTGAAAGGTGATACGCGAATGTGCAATTGGTCTTTCTATTCAACAAACTACTTCCATGCTCTTCAATCCATTGGGATAAAGTTCTCCCTATTTGACCACTATGCAGTTTTGTACAAGAGCCACAAGCCAGCTTATGTAATTCTGATGTATCTGAAGTTGATAAAATGCTAGTTCGAAATAACAAAATAATTGTTGTAGACCCATTTTTATGACGAGGAAATATTTATCCATTTCTCATGAAATCATTGGATGTAAGTGGATCAACATGGAAAATAGAAGAATACTTCACCTCAGTACCTTCGTTGAAAAACTTTTGGAGAACCACCAGACCCGATACGTTGTTTCACTCCTCGATCGCAAATCCATTCAAAAAATGCCAGAAAAAAGTCTACCTTCACTATGCTTGAGCATAGTGAAGGTAGCATATGTACAATAAATTACCAGAAAAGTTCAGAATGTATAATATTGAAATGCAAGTCAATTTCACGTGCCAAATCATTTAACCTCTCATATTTAGGTAATCGCTCCAATACTCGATTTACTATAACAAATATGGAGCGTGAGCCCCTCTATTGGTTGAGTAAAATAGTCTCAGTTAGGCTTCGCCATCAGTCTCATTAATTGTTATTCATCCACATTGAAAGTCGAGTCATTACTATTTTTATTTCTATTATTTTCAATAAACATCTGATTATACTATCAAAAAATGTAACCATTTAATTTCCCGAAAACACTACACCCTCTGTGGAATGCAGTCCATCCAGCAAACATTTCGCTGGATTGAAAATAGTGCGGGATTGAAATCCCTCTTCGTAGCCTATACGAAGTCAATCCCAACAGCTAAATAAAAGACCATGGTACCGGGTCTGATAAATCTACTAGTTAGTACCATATAAACCACCCTCGTAAATTATATCACGCCGCCCATGACATACAAATAAACTGCCGTCGTTCGGTAACTATTTAGTTTTTATGCTATTCGAATTGACTTCGTATAAACTTAATTCTGCTTGCTGACGCTACTATTCGAATGAATTGCGAAAAAGTCGAAAACTAACGTGTGGTTTTGAAAATTGTTTATTATAAGTGGCATACTAATCTTTCATAATATTGGATCTTTTACTATTGAAACATTGCCTGTTTTTATCATGTGAATGTATATATATAAATTCTCTCATTATCTAATCTCATTCAAACAAGAACAGTAAGATATATGGTTCATTTCATTCCTAATTAAATTGGAAACTAGGAAATAGATATGGAATTGTTGAAAAATTTAGCCGATGTTTCCAAAGAGGAACAACGGAAATTTATTGAATCTTTCGATCATGTCCTCGCGGATATGGATGGTGAGTGGATTTCATTTTATATCAAAAATAGTAAAACTGAGGAGTTGTTATTTATAATTAACGGGTTTATTTCCTACTCTTATCGGGTGTTGACGGAAAGTTCACATGAATTTTGATGTTACGTAATAAATGAGTTAGTCTTATACATTCATTTTCCCAAATAAAAATCACCAGTCAGATTTTTATCTAGATGTATTCGATCAAAAATATGATTTACCAATATTCCTGTCCAGACATAAACATGGACTGAAAAGTCGCGGACCTAAGAAAAAAACGCGTTTTTATTTTTCAAAATTGTTATTCAATTTCTTCCTCATGATTTCAGTTATAGAAATCTCACTACTTTTGTAACACTTGTATATTATTTTTTTTCAATGATTTTATCAGATGAACATCTAAAGGTTTGGGTAATCTTAAATCACATCGCGTCTTGCGTTCATAAAGTTTGTTTTTGACTATTTTACATACCAGGAATTTCAGTCAAATCTGATGTTACTTGTAAAAGTTTGTTTCCCATGAAACCAAACTTGAGATGTAGATTTTTATATACATTGAAACGTACTCTCTGTGTTTCAATATTCCAATATCCGAACCTAATTCACTGGTACCTCTTTTTTGCATTGTTCCTTTTCCCTTTCTCGTCACTGACAGCACCCAAAATCGTGAGGTGTAGTTTTTGAAAAAACCCTAATTTTCAAGGAAAAAAATCCAAATGGGAGTGCAAGGAAGGATTTTGAGAGACATGCGACATCCCATTCTGTAGTAGTTTTCAAATAGTTTTTCAAGTATAAGTAATTTTCTACTTTCTTGTTTCCTAAAAACTCCCAAACAATTCTTCAGAAAGAACTCCACGCAGCTAATTCAACATTACTTATGTCGTTATGATATGTCAACTAAGGTGTTGTGGTATTGGCCGCGGTGGTATTGCGCCCGACTCACGATCGGAAGACCGTGGGTTCGATTCCTGCCTCGACCAGATATTTTTCTCGACAGAATTTATCTGGTTGAAGCTGGGATAATTCTACAACAGTGTTAGGAATCACACGTTAAAAGGTAAGACCTCGTTAGTCCTTAGCTCGTACAAGTTTCTCAACTTCTGAGAGTTGTCGTTCGTATGGGTGCGACAGTTGATTAACGGAAAAACAGATTTTGAAACAGATTTCAAACAATCATAGGTAGCCTTTATACTGAGTACAGATAGAAACCTAAGTTGTAGCATATGAAACTATGAAAACAATACGAACAAAAATGTAGTTGAGAAATCTCTGTTGATCTAAAACAAAACTCAATTAAAGGAGTCATACTCATGTTCATTACAAAAAATATTCTTCAATTAAAAATCTTGTAGAATCATTATGAAATATCATGTAAGAACATTGGTTCCCACGGAAGGAATCACAATTGGAGAAACATAATCTAGAATAGTAGGCCGTTGTCGAAAGGAGCCTAAAGTACCAAATATTTCGTCTACTACTGCGGTAGATGCCATCAGTGGTTTGTGCGTACAGTGTGAGGATGATAGTTGAATCTCAGAGTTACATAAACCAAATAATAATGATAAATCGTTTCGTTCGATTTGGAGCTATTCAAAAAATTATGCTATTCATAAAACGTTATAGTGAGTTTTTGAATTTAGACGACGCTGGTATTCTCAATGAATTATCCAAGTTTGTAAAGAATGAAATGACCTGAGTTTATGTACCAATTTCCACATTTGAAACAATATTCAGTAACAGTAATAACATAGAAATCTAAATCCAAAATCAGTTGATTATCGTTTCTTGTACTGGTACAGATACGTAGATGATATCTTAGTCTGTTTTACTGGTATAGCTAGGCAAAAAGGTACGTTTGTCGAATATGCCAATTCCATTCACCTGTTAATCAAATTCACCAGTGAATGAGAGATGAGTTAGTGAATTGATTTGACTTGACTATTACGAAAATAAATAATGAACATGATTTTTCAATTTTCCACAAACCATCTCATATAGAAATTGTCGTACATAATTCTTCCAGACACCCTTAGCTGCATTCAATAGTATGTTTCACAGACAAGGCCGTAGCCAGAAAACAATTTCCGGGGAGTTTGGTTTGGTGGAACAATAGAAAAACATGAAATATAAAAATAACGAATAAAAGAAAATGGTGTACCATGAAAATATATATTAATTTTAAAACCATTACAAAAATATTAATATCTTTTTACAAAATCAATTAACTCCTTGGTGTCGATGTCAGTTCTACGGTGGATTGACATTAACGCCAAACGATTTAGTCGTTCCAGGCTTGTGAAGTTTTGAGGAGTTTCAGAAAAGAGAAAGTCCTTCCAGGGCTACGTGTGGAATAGGTAGTATCGCCAAGATCTTTAAAAGTTTGTACGCATATTGCCGTAAGGTTTTCTCATTATGTTTCGGGGAAGTTTTTTTCAATATTCTTTCAAGCACTTGGTTCGTTTTGCCAAGGACTTGAAAATTTCTAACTGATTTCATAATCCCAATAGTATTCCTTCGGCGCCAGGTTCCCAGGGTCGCCCAGGGTGATCCTGGCAAGATTGCATCCTTCGATTCCATCCCCCCTTTTTAGGAATTGAGCATGGGTGTAATGTTTGGCTAGTTCCGCAATTGTCGAAGTCAGCAGACCGCAGGTGACATTGGGTCCTAAAATTCTTAATCCAGCCGTTTCCTTGGCTAAAGAGTCGGCAATGCGATAACCTTTACTCCTGTTGTGCCCTTTAATCCACTTCAGGATAATGTTATTATCCAGCAAGGCTTTCGCTAAATCTTGGTGGCACTCTATTACTAGCCCTGAGGTAACACGTTATCTGTTCAAGGCTAATAGGGTTTGTCTGTTATCAGTGCAAATTGTTATGTTTTTGTAGCAACTGAGATACCAGCCAGTTATGTTTGAACCACGTTGGTATTTTTTCCATTCCCCACGTAATCCTCAGGCCTAGTGATCTGGAGTACACTTCACATCCTGTGTCTTCTTTGGTTTTTGAGCCGTCTGTATGTATACGTATTGCATTTGTATTTTGTAGGGTTTATTAAACACAAACCTGGGTTCAATTGCCTGCAGCAGAGGTTGCGCAGTGAGCGCTTCTCGCCATAGGCTCAACCTCAATTGACCCATTCCTACTTCGAGGTTTACACCAGCCGTACGCAATCGTGACATGACCATTACTGCAACCTCCTTAACGTACAGGTCCAGAAGAGATAGGCCAGTAATTAATTCCATTGCCGCGGTTGTTGTTGTTCTTATGGCCCTGTGACATTTAAAAAAGCCAATCGTTGTATTTGATATAATTTTTGGATGACAGTTGCTTGTAGAACTCTCGGGGGGGATCAATGCCCCTTGATCTCACCTGGCTACGGCCTTGTTCACAGACTATTGGAATATTCAATAGTATGCTTCACAGGTTATTGAATATCTCACTGTCGGAAAATGATTCACAGAGAGAGCTAAGTTTCATCAAACAAATCGCTGTCAACAACTGTTATAAGGTAGATATTATCAACTCCATTCTTCTCAAAAAAACTACAAAAAAAGCCATTGACTGAATTCACCCAAATTCAAGAAAAGACAACGTCTGCTATAGAACATTGTCATATTTTCGTGAATCTACCAATAATATCGCTCATTTTTTGAAAAAGAATGCTTAGATGTGGCTTACAGAATGAATAATAGTTGAAGTAAATTTATCAAGGACATTAAAGACAAAACTTCATTGTTGTATAGATCAGGAGTAATACGTTCACTTGTGGCTCTTTTGCAAAATTCTATATTGGTCAAACAGGGAGAACTTTGAACCAGATAATTGAAGAGCATAGACGTAGTTTCTTGAAAGAAGAGACCAATTCTACAAGCCATCTTTCATCAGGAGGACATGAGTTCAATTATGGATATGACGTGTTATATTTAGAAGAGAAAAGTTTAAAACCCAGTCTTTCCGAATGTTTAGGAATTGATAGATTCGGGAATTCGGGTGATGAATCTCTCAATATGCTTTAGTTTTTATCGTTTACAAAATAGTCATTGTTGAAATTCTCACAAATGATTATATTTTCAGATCTTTCTTCAGCAATCTGTAGTGACTGAAACGAGCTGTCAAAGGATAAACCAGTTGCACCATTTGGCATATGCAGCATATTACATATATTTCAATTTAACATTATGAGGACAATTGTTCCTCTCAAAGTTTCCAGTTATGATGAATATACTTCTATATCCATTAATATTTTCAACTATTCGAAACTAATCTGCTCACTAGCATATGAATTCTGTACATTTTTCTAGGGGTTATATGGCTAACAAACAAAATGTTTCCGTTTTCGGTAGAATGTATGAATTCACTGAAACAGCGAGGAAAAACCATCCGTTATGCTACAAACAACCCTCTCGTCAACGTAGTGGATTTATGGAAAAAATTGGTTCGAGAAGGATTTAACGCAGAAATTGCCGACGTCGTCAACCCCCTTTTGTCGGTTATGTCTTATCTGAAGTCCATCAACTTCAATAAAAAATTATACGTCATTGGATCAGAAAAGTTCAAAGAAGAACTCCGGAAAGAGAATTTCAAACTTGCATCAGACCCTGTGAGTATTTTTCTCTGTCGCTCCAAACTCTTAATTTATCCTTTTTTCCAGCCTCAAGTCGTTGAAGAATCCGTTCCTGTTGTCTTAAAATACATTTCAGATGATGAAGACATAGGTGCAGTAATATTTTCATGGGATCTCAATATGACCTTCATCAAACTTCAAAAGGTTTTGACCTATTTGAAAAGAAAAGACTGTTTGTTCATAGCTGTAGCTAATGACAAAAAAGCACCTATTGGACCACCGGGACCACTTATAGGTAAGAAGATGCAATTTCAAACCAAACTCCTCTGATTGTACCGTATTATTTAAAAAATTAAATCAGATAGTCTGCATTTTATCCAAGCTCTTCCGAAACTGACCTTTTGATAACATCAGCTTTTCTGGCCTCCAAAAGTGAGTTAACTTCCCAATGTGAAACTGCAAAATACTAGTTCAAAATATTATTGAACACCATTTCATAAGTGAAAAATAATATTAATAATTTAGTCCTCAATATGTGTACTAGCGAATCGACCTGGCTTCATTTTGTTTAGAAACCGGTCATAAATGAAAAATATGTAATTCTGTTGTATTTCCATACCATTGTTTCTGATACCATATAAGTATTTCAACCTCCAATAAATATTAAATATAGTTGAACTGTATTGAGGAAACTAAGTAGATCACAGAAGCAACATATATATTTTGGAATACCTCGTGTAACGTTTTTCATGTACCAACCCCATTTCCCTACAAATGACTGAAGTCTTCTGAAGAACTCAATAAAGTCTTACTCTCTAACGTTTGATTCCTAGCACGAATCTAATGATGAACAAAGAACACTTCAATATACGCAAAACTAACTATGAACCGTCAATCATCTGATAAGGTATATTTAAAATTCCGAAAAAATGCGAATTGGAATAACATACAATTGAATCAATTTTTCATTATAATCCATATATTTTGCAAAATTCTATAGATTTATAATCCATAAAGGTGACGAGTCACTAAATATTTGATTTTCATTTTTATTCGACCAATTCTTATAGTTCTGTACATTTTTCATTATTATGTAATAGTCATATGCAACCCTGAATGCTTGTATATTTTTTTAATTCATCCATACAATAATTTCTCTGTAGAACTCAACCAAAAAATGTATTGTCAATGACTTCAGGTACCGGAGACTTCATTGGAATGGTGAGCGATTTTAGTGGTAGAGAACCGACTTTTATAGGAAAACCTTCGGCGTATTTTGCTCAATTCGTAAACCAGAAATTCGATATTGTCGATCCAAAAAGAGCTTTATTTATCGGGGATCAGTAAGTTGAGAGTGCTATCACATCTTCCCCAAATATGAATTCACAAAACAAAGAAACTTTTATTTCCAGGATTGATCCAGATATGAAGTTTGGTTCCACAGGAGGTTATCAAAAACTATTGGTACTGAGTGGAATTGCAAAAATTGAAGATATCAAAAATTGGAAGCATCCTGAAGAATACAAACCTGAATATTACATCGAAAGTCTGGACGTTTTGAACGATATTCTGAAATCGATTAAATGAAGAATTAGACACACAACTGAATAAAAGCAGATAACAGGCCCTATGCCATTACAGTTCGATTGAATCTTCTACACAAAAGGAAATCTTCAACAAGTGAAACTCGAAATGAGTTTTTGAATTTTGTTTCTGTCAGAAAATATACCTGGTGTCACTAAAATCATTGTACATGATGTTATTCAGATATTTGTGAGGTATGGGATTCGAAATTTTGAACAGGATATAATTGGATGAATTTCACTAGTTCGGACTTCCATTGTCTATTATATAAAATGATTTGAAATTCCTGAAACAAGTAAAAAAGATTATGTGAAAAAGAATAGTTGAAAATAACAATTATATTAAGCAACAATAAACCTGAGCTACTATAGAATCGCTCA